GAGGAAGCGGCTCAATAAGAAGCTCAGTAATTGAGCACCTTGTGAACGCAGGTCGCTCAATCAAGGTAAACTTTGTATTCAAAGTCATCTATAAGGTAACCATAAGTCTCGCCAAAACAATTAGACTGCATCTTCTTTGGATTGCCGAAGCACTAGCCATACATATGGAAAAACCAGAATTGTGGGTGCAAAAACGACTGGTATAACCTGTTCTTCCACCATGGTCCTGATGTCTTATCATTTTTTAATATTATTTTTAACATTCTCTTTCTTCATACTCTTCTTCCTTTACATCCATCTGCTTCACCGTCCATCTCCCCCTTAAATTTTCTACTCCCAACTGGTTCATTTTATTCCAACGATCATCCTCATTACATTTAATCTCAATTTCAACATTTGTCTCATCATGCTGAGCTATCCGTCTCTCTATCTATCTTTTGATGAATACTTGTGCCATTAACGATCAAACGATTATTAAACTTCCCTTGATCTTTTAAAAGAATTTTTATTAACTTTGTTTATCTAACCCTACTGTCAACATGCCTAATAGAAGTTTATTATCAGTATGATTATCATCCTGTGAAAATAAGTATATATTTGTGATTATACAGCTTTGAAAATGAACTCGCCGAAAAGAGAACTCTTTGCTGAAATAATCTTTCTTATCTAATGTCTTAATGGGTGTATTCCGTATATGAATGTTCAGTGTTAAAGACACACCAAAATTTTAGAACTTCGGTGTTACGTTGGAGCTGTTTAATCCGTTGTGCCCACGTAACCCTCTTGGTCGCATGTGAAAAATCCTCTCTGTTACTTGTCAGTTCATTAATTATTTTATCAAATAAACAGTCTAATAATTCATTTAGTGGTTTATCAACAAGACAATCTCGTTTTGGCCTGCTGATTCCTAATGCCTTTGTTTCTATGTCCTTGCACAACGGAATATTTAGGTCTTCTTGAAACAATTTTGAATGGATCTTCGGATAGAAGATTGTGTGGTACTTTTACTCTGTCACGCCTCATCCAGTCGCCAATGCAAGCGCCCAAATCTGTGGGCACATATGTAGCTCATGGCTTGTTATGTTATTGATCTGTCTCCCCAAGAGTATACAGGAGGTTAGCTGTCTCGATGTAGATTAAAGCCTTGACGCTATAGGCTTACTGGCTTAACCTCGAGGCTAGAAATGCCTGAATGCGAACTGAGACTACCTGCCTTAGGTAGAGAGAAGAAGAACATTCTACCACCCGGTTGGTTGACAGTGAGAAAGAAGACGAGTTAGCTGGAACACTACTTGAGTTGTTTCCGACTTCGATTGGAGTAAAGGGTACATAAATAAATAGATTATTAGCATGACCACAACACACAAACAATTAGAACAATACAATTATGTCCAAACTAGGCATTCAGATATAAAAATTGAGTACCAAAGGTTACGTTTAAATTACAATAGCTTTGAAACTAAAAAGAGTATGCTAGTGGTTCATGCCTCAGACAAAAGCTTATGGCTTGTAGAATAAACTAGCGGTAAAACTAAATGTTAGTATTATACAAGTTTTGAATTGAGTGGAATAGTGTCCCCCAAAGTAGCTTCCATTGTTTGTCATGGCTTCTTTATTTCTCAGTTCACATCATCTTTATTTTTGACAAAAAGGGTTATAACTGTCATTTATCTAACTGTACAGGTGGAGGAAACTGGCTAGCGCTGTGATCCTCGTGTAGATCACCAGCACAGATGATCTGTGTCTAATAATTGTGGGCCCACTCGATTTAGACGGAAATGGTGTGACGAACTAGCCTCGTCAATGTCACATCTGATGGTTAGTACATAGCATGGAACAGCATTTTGTCGCATCCAGGTAATATGGCTGCTTTGACAACCATACAACACAAAGGACTTTATTACAGAAATATGTTGGCAAGATTAGGTACAAGGAAGATAGTAAGACCACCGCCGCATGAGCCATTCCATAGCGTTGCTACACTACCTGTCTTCGCCTGCACTTGTTGATAAGTATGGAGTAGAAAAGCTACGTCATCTGCATAATCCAAATCGTCTAGTTGCATCCAAGCTGTCCATCCTGTGCTTTCCCTTACATGTGGAGGTTTTCATAGTCGAATCGACCGCCAGAAGATAGAGAAAACGGGGGAACAAATAACATTGTGTGACCTCGGTCATAACTTGGAGTGCGTCAGTCAGCTGTCCCCTACATATGGCACTGCGATGTAATCCATCGTATGAATTCCGTGTGATGTTGACAATCTTCACAGGTGCAACACAGTGTCGAAGTTGGTTCCATAAGTTTATCCTATCTTCATTGTCAAATGCTTTCACATAATCAGGGAAGTTAATGTATAGTGACGAGTCCCATTCAGCCGACTATTGAACATTAGTCAGTAGTGTCGTTAAACAACTTCTTATCACAGAATCCAGTCTGTTTATCTCGAAACTCCGTGCCTGCTGGATCATTTATTAGTTTCAAGCACACTGCCGTAAACTTTTCCTGGTACTAATAGTGGAATGATATCTCTGTTGTACTCACCTTGTTGAGATCTCCTTTCATAGGTATATTGACGAAGCATCCTTCTTTCCAGTCTACCGGCACTTGTTTTGCCTACAAAATCTTTCTTCAGAGAATATGGAGCATCTTTGCAGTTGCTTCCATATCTGACTCCAGTGCTTCAGCTCGTGTGTTGTCTGGTCCTTCCGCCTCAAAGTCAGACGGACAACAGGGAACTAGCTTTAACGTTTTGAGGCACAAAGTGAATCACTGACATTTCACACAGAAGCTCGTGAAGCGGGAGCTACTTCTTTCCGTCCATTAGAATTTGACTATTCGAACCGTTTGTGGAGGTATTTATGAAAGCTGTCGTTACCGTGAAGGGTTTGTGATGATGGCTGATAAGAAGGAAATATACAGATCTATCGCCCGTTTCTTCGATAAAGAGATAAATTCCCATGTCTACTCTTCGGAGATAAATGAGGGTCTTGAAGGTAAACATACATACACTAAATTTGCGGTGGGGAAGTCATTACTTTTCGTATATCTTCCTTAACGAAAATGTAGTATCATTGTGAGAAAACGGTGATATGTATTTCTGAGTAGACTGGTTCTAAACGTAGCAATATCGTCGGATGAATATCAATTAGTGTTTTAACATACGGTTAGGAGACTGTACAGACCAATCATGAAGAGGGATGGATGATACTTCCAACTGTCTTATGTTCAAAAGTTCTCGAAAAAGGCCATGTAAACTTTAGATAAATTTAGAGGGCCCTACTTCTTTGAACAGAGAGAAAAGCACTAGCGTTATGGAACCTTGATATAGTCGGGAAATTGTGAGGTTTCTGGTTGGTGAGTAAGATTCAGTAAGATATTCGTTAGTATTCGAAGTTTTTGCGTCGTTCTATGCAGATCCAAGCCAGCGGTCTTTTCAAGTTATTAACGGTTGAGAATTTGTAAGAAAGCTGTCGTGATTGTCGGAATTCCCGCTATTCTAGTTTCTAAAGTTGTTGGTCTCGTATTTAGGGTCTGGTAGCGGAACAACAATGTTAAGCCTCACTAGTTCTGGCTTCAGACACACCGTAAGGGCCAGCGTAATATCGGGTTGGGGAGAAGAGTGACCAAGTCAACATTGTGATATTAGTGTAACCCGTTTAATGAGTTTAGGTGTATTGCCTTGACTCCAAAGCTCATATGTAGGGTCTGTCGGCACTGACCAGGTGCTATAAACATAGTGGCTGGAATTTTTCCTGAATCTACTACTTAAAGATTAAGCTTCTGCTTTCTTCAACTACTGCTACCACTCCTCCTCTATGTATAGTATGGTATCAGTCATTAAAGTTACTGTTATTTGGTCTCACAAAATCGGTTGATTTTCTCATGTTTATCTGAATCATGAACATAGCACCACGCCATACTTGTCACCTTCCAGTTCCATCTATTTTCCTTTAGCTTTCCAACTATTGGTAATGTTGTCTTCAAACATTCTTTAGTCAATTTTTCTGTACCCTAGTGTGAATCTGGGGAACGCTGTTTATTAAAGTGGTTGATATCCACTTAACGTTTTTGTTATCTGTTCTTTGCCAATGATTTTGTAATTAAAAGTCACATTCTTGATAAGTTACCTCTTTCTTGAAATTTGTGTCCCAAAAGAGCAAGACTGACTGAACAACATGGTAACAGACCATGTAGTTACAGATACAAACTTAAGATATAGAAAATTACTGTTTAATTGCTTTTTGTGTGACACGTGGAGTAAGTTGGGTCATTTGGAGCAAACTTGATCGTTCTGATATATGCTACAACTACTCATTGAGTTCTTGGATAGAATATTGAAGGAGATACAAGACATCTTAACGAGGCTTCAAAAGGACGTTCCTTTACTTAAATTGCTTCAGTATTATAACTTGCCTATGTATTCAGGTCATTTATATTTGCTTATCTGAAAGAACTTATCTTAGAGTAACTATTCAGATGACTTTTGTTTCAGTTGCGAAGCAGTGTATAGAAACAGCTTTTCATATATCTGATAGTGAAGTCGGTGATGTTCCCGATTTACAAACATTATTTAAATCTCAGTCTCAAGTAATTACTCGCCTTTTAAGTCATTATTACAGAAAAAACCTGATATTCTAACAAGCGAACCCTCAGAAGAAACCAAATCAATGGCAGAAGCATTAAAAAATCAAGGTATGACTATTCTTTTTTATTAAGCTGCACTTGCAGGCAATCAATGCATGAAACAGGAGAAGTTTGGGGAAGCTGTAGCCTGCTACAGTAAAGCTATTGAGCTGTCCCCGTACAATGCCGTATTTTACTGCAACAGGTATTTACTGAGTTTTATGGCATTTTACGGTTTATTTTGAAATCTGACTGTAGTACGCTACCATAGAAATGTCATTACATCTGAAATAACGTCCATACTACTGAAATTGACCAGATGAGTTATAGCCTTATTTCACGGGGATGACAATTCATGTTTGTTATACTTCAGCTCATATGTAAACAAAATCTATAGAAAAAACCCATTAAGCTAATTGTCCACAACCAACTTGAAATGCTTATAGTAGCTCATAATAGTCCACTGTTGTAATTGTTGGTTTAGAATTCCATAATCAAATAGCTTATACGAAAATCTGTTCCAAGTAATTGCTCTTTGTAACGTAATATGGGGTTATAAATAGTTGAATGAATATTATTTTTAGTATTACATATATTATGGAAGTTGCTTACTTCTAGAGCAGAGGCGTATCATGTAACTGCCCATTTTTTAGATCACAGCCAACTGTAAACCTGGTTTACAGGGATGTCATGTTCTTAAGAGATTATATAGTAGATCAACTCAGTGAATTACTACTACTAATTTTCATGTAACCTCATCTCTCCATTACCTTGAAAATTGTTGGTCACTTTATTTTTTTGTCTGAAGAGCTGCCGCCCACTCTCGATTAGATCATCACCAAGATGCAATTAATGACTGCTTAAAGGCTTTAGAAATCGACCCATGTTACAGCAAAGCATATGGCAGAATGGGGTGAGTGTTATAAATTTAGACCTTCATTTTTTACATACAATCCTATTATTTGTAACCTTTTAAGGTCCCCTTAGACTTATTATTTTCTATTATTTTTATCAATGAATACACCATAAAAGTACTTTGATACCTGTCGTAAGGTTTATTCGTTTGAATTTTGATTACTACTGGGAATCACTTTTAGTCTCGAATTTATAAAATATTATTCAAGGTTTGTTAATATTATCTCCTTGAGTGCGGTTCAGAACAGTATATCATTTACTAATTAAGAATACAGGTCCATGGCATCAAACGTATTATCTGTATTTAGCACTTTGCAAACAGTATCAACTTTTTTCACTGAATAATTTCACTAAACATGACATATTTCGGAAATGTCAATGAGTTTACTCTCTCCAGTGATAGCTAGTACCTTGAAGTGGTCAGGCTTACCTACCGTGATGGCTCAACTGAGCTATACTGGCTGGGACATACGCCCTTTCAGATCCTACCATGCCAAGCAGGTCGGTTGGAAAACGATAAGACTAAACGATCAGCTCGAAGTACTAGGGCGAAGTTGTACTGCTGACTGTATGGAGGTATGACGGTACTAAGGCGGTCCTCTTGGACAACCAGCACCTGCAGAGATGTTACCTTCTCACGACGAAAGGAAGCAGTTAGAAAATGTCACATCTCACCTAACCCTACGGATTTTTTCTCTGGTAGTAAAGCCTTTTAAAATACAGAGCTAACACATCAAAACTTCCCACACAAAGGCCATGCGCGACCTGTCCCGATTAGTTGTCCTTTACTCTAGTCATGCTCCCAAGTGACCAAGACCACTACTTTTCCGATTCCTTTTGCAGGTCCTTCCACGATGTGGAGAGTTCGTAAATTACAGTTGCTCCCATACCTCTATCAGCACCCGAAATCATTTCCTTCACGATCAAATCCCACCCTCACATCTTAATAATTCTTTTATCCTTATGACTAATCCTTGGTTGGAGACTTTGAATGACAACTCAAAATCGTTCTCAATCGCTTAAGTGCACTCATTCTTTGTCTTCCCTCAAATTCTGAGATTGTAAATTCCTCATAACTTTTTTGTGTGTGTTTATTTCGCTGACTTGTATTTTCTTTTTGGATCGTATCTTCGATGCCTAATCTTTCCTATTACCACTGATACTGTCGCTACCTCCACTGTTCTGGGATTTGCCTTGACAACTTCATCTCTCTGTGCTAATGGGGTGTGACAACTTGAGCCGATGTACGTACGGGTTCTACATTGTGACTGATTGACGACTCATCCTTGTTTATCTTTATCAACACGCGCCACCAATGGTGATGATTGGAGTTTACGAAATGTCTAGTGTCCCGAGACGACACTCTAAACTACGTGTTGAGGCTTTTAGTGTTCGAATTTTGTCATTTAGGACAACAGGCTTCTTTGCCCCCCTGAATGCCCTGGTACCGCCGAGAGTGGGGAGAGTCCGCTCTCCCTCTCGAAATACTCTCACACGGCCACGCGTATACAGCCTCTGCCAGAGAAGTCCTACTCATTGCCTTCTCGTGGCGGGGGTGTTGTCTACGAAAATGAGAGGACGAAAAGCGAATGTCCGGCGCTTTAACCGGATTCCAAATCAATGGTGCACATGGGCTCCAGTATCCTGCGGGAACGAATGGCGTATGAACCAATCGTTGGTCACCGGCTACCATGGGACTGCATCTCCTTACGATGCTCCACTGCCTTGTGGGTTAGACCTTTAGGTCAAAGGCTCGGGGAGTGGCCCCCTAAGATAACCACCTGCTTCGGTTTGGGCACCCGGGCAGTATCACAGCCCACACACAAATTGATGAACTCTTTATGCCTATGGAAATTACCTTTCTCACTTTGAAAAACAAACAATTGATTCAGATTATTATCATTACAATTATTGTCATTATTAATACTAATATTATTATTACTACTATTATTGTCATTATTGTTATTATTATCATTATTATTATTATTTTCCACATTATTCACCCTCTTTTATACCTATACAGCGGCTCGTCTTTGGTGGAAATCCGACTGTATCTAAACGTTCTCGAGTCACTGTCCGGTTGAAAATTGTATGTTACCACCGAATACGAGGACTGAAGCAGTTTTTCTGAAACCACGTGCACCATTCAAACTGGCTGCCTTCAACGCTCGCACATTTATGCAGGTCGGACAACAGATAGGGCTGGCTATGTCTTTGGAAAGTCTTAATATCGACGTGTGTTGTCTATCCGAGACCCGTATTCAAGACTCTGGCGAAGTACTACAAATTCGATCTCCATCTGTCGCTTCGAAAAGCTTATTTTACGTGCGCTTATCCGGGGACCCTGTGGCATCTTCGCCTGGTCTTGCTGGCGTTGGTGTCGCACTAAGCGCTAGAGCTGAGGCAGCACTAGTCGATTGGATCCCCATTAACAGTCGGTTATGTGCTGTTAGATTAGAAAGTTCCATCTTAGTGAGAAGAAATTGGCGTGAGAAACGATGTCTTTTCGTCATCTCCGCCTATGCCCCGACAGATTGCAGCCCGGATGCAATCAAGGATGAGTTTTACCACCAATTATCAGTTCTTCTCCAGAAAGTGCGTTCGACAGATATTGTAGTACTAGCCGGAGACTTGAATGCTCAGGTCGGGCGTCTAGGCACAGAAGAGAGTCGTTTAGGTGGCCGATGGGGACTCGTTGGTCGCAGGTCAGATAACGGGGACCGTCTACTGCAACTGTGCACAGACCACAACCTGTTTCTGGCTAGCACTAACTTTCGGCACAGTCATCGCCGATGTGCCACCTGGCGTCCTCCCTCTGCATCTCAAGCCTGGACGCAGATTGATCACATCGCGATCAGCTACCGCTGGCGTGGTTGTGTACAAGACTGCCGCTCCTTTTGGAGTACCTATCTGGACTCTGACCATGCCTTGGTCTGCTCCAATCTTGCCTTACTTTTCAGTGGACAACGAAGTGAACGCCATCAACGGATTGATGTTAGCAAGCTGGTTGCAACTTCTGTTGCAAGTAAGTATCGAACCGAGCTAGCCTCTAGGCTAGCTACCACTCCACCGAAAAGTATAGATGAGCATTGGTTGCAATTGCGTGACGCCATGAAAATGGCGGGAACAGTCAGTTGTGGGTTTGCGAAACGTCCCGCTTTTAAGCACTGGGTTTCTTCTGGTTCCTTACAACTCATTGAAGCCCGTCGGTCTACTCCGGGTGACCGTGAGTTTGACCATAAACGAAGGATGTTACGTAAGGAAATTGGGCAAAGCTTGCGTAAGGACCGAGAAGCCTGGTGGTCGATGCGTGCTAATGAGCTGGAAGCAGCAGCTGCATCTGGTAACTACCGGAAGCTCTTCCAGCTCATCCGAGCCACTGGCAGCAAGAAGTCTGGTGTGAGTGAAACAATCTGCGAGGATGATGGGATGCCAATCACTAACATCCATCGACGTCTTGGACGATGGGCAGAATTTTTCGAAGGGCAGTTCAACTGGCCTGCTGCTCCGGCAACATCGGTCAGACTGTCCTGCCCTCCATGGCCGGTGACGACTGATCCACCAAATGAGGAGGAAGTCCGCAAGGAACTCCAACTCTTGAAGCGTTAGAAATCACCGGGCCAAGATGACTTACCTCCGGCTCTTTTTAAAGATGGTGGTGACTTTTTGACTAAGGAATTGACGACGTTGTTTACAAAGGTTTGGGAACTAGAGAGTGTACCAACGTCATGGAATGAGTCGATAGTTGTCCCTATCTTTAAAAAGGGTTCACGTCGTTCTTGTAACAACTATCGGGGGATAAGTTTACTTCCGATTGCGTCCAAGCTATTGGCTTCCGTCATTCTTCGTAGGTTGTTCAAAACCCGAGAAAGATTGACTCGCGAGGAGCAGGCTGGGTTTCGTTCTGGTCGAGGATGTATTGATCATATCTTCACCCTCCGCCAAATGTTAGAACACCGCCATACTTTTCAAAGACCAACAATCGTAGTGTTTCTTGACATCAGGGCTGCCTTCGATTCGTTGGATAGGACTGTTCTCTGGGATTGTCTATTGAAGAAGGGTGTGCCTGAGAAGTTTATTAACATCCTAAAAGCCCTATATGCAAACACCTCAGGCAGAGTGAGGGCATACAACCACCTCTCTCCATTGTTCCATTCGAGCAGTGGGGTTAGGCAGGGTTGCCCAATCTCACCATTCCTCTTCAACTTTGCCATCGATGACATTCTGGAAACAGCTCTGATGAATGTAAGTAATGGTGGTGTGGATCTGTTGCCTGGAGAAAGACTTCTC